AATAGTTATAGTCAAATAAATGATCAATAATGATAATAATGTATACATATATACGAGATTTTATATAAATATGAGATTTATATATGAGATTTTATATAAATTGTAAGTGAGGACTATGGAGAGGATGCACAAAAGTTTTTTAACCAACCGACATGCTGGATGTAACTGGAAGATGTTTTTATGTTTTATGTTTTGTTTGTGTATGTTTGTTTTTAAAAATAAAAACCTCTACCTCTTTATTTAAAAAAAGACAGAAATAATGCTAACATCTAACTTGAATCCATTTTTCAATGTTACTTCATATCATACATAGGTTACACATTTCCCTTGTGTAAAAAATTCTTTAGATATCTGAAGATATCTTATTTCTTCTTCTAAGTCTTTTTTCCTGCTAAACATATCTAGTTCCTTTAACTGACATCATAGGATTTAGCTTCCAGTTCCTCATAATTTTAGTAGTCACTTTTGAACTCATTTGATAATGTTCATTTTAGATTGTAGTAGCTAGAATTGGATACAAGATTTGTAATGTAGCCTTATCAGAGTAGGGTAGGGTAGAGTAGGGTTAATTACTTCTGGTAATATGGACTATGAAGGAGGTCACTTATAAGACTAAATTATTTGATGATCATCTGGAAACATTAACTGATACAAAATGCAGCAGCCTGTTTTGAGTAGTTTGTTACTATCATGCTACCCCCTTGCTGAAGGAGGTACAATGCTAGTGTACAATTTAAGATTCAGATTAACTTAAGTCCATCAGGGATCAGGTATTTCTGATATTGTCTTTCCAAGGTAGACTCTATCCACCCAGTTTAAGCCGAGCAGAAATTTTTTTTACAAATAACCCTACTTAAGTTGAAGTACTTGGGTAGACTGTTTTAAAAGGCATTCAGAGATTGATTATTCTTTTTTGTTTGCAAAGTATTGGCTCTTAAATCAACAGTACTTCAGACTTTCACCATTATACATTATACTATAGCAAAGATAAATTTTTAAGTAAATATAGAGAATCATGGTCAATACAATATTAATTACTAGTTGAATATCCATGCTTCACGACAAAACTATATGATCGGGCAATGCAGGAGAAATCCAGTTCAATCCATTGGTTCAGTGGTGGTCGGTGATTGAAACATATAAGGGAATATCACTCCCGCTGCCTTGAGTCCGGAAGCAGTTCCATAGGTGAAAGGTGTAGACATTTTGGTGAGGTACCAATATTTAGTACTGTAAGGAGCTCCAGACCACTTCTGAGTGAAGGAGTGGAACATCTGCCAGTTTGAACTGAGGTAACGGAATGTTTCCAACTGGCAGTAGGAACAGAGTTCTTTTCAGGTGGGGAGGGGGATTAGAATGTCTAACTCCTTAGCATCAGAGCGTGTTAATATAAGGCAACTGGTAATTGGAACAGAGTTCTTTCAGGTGGGGAGGGGGAATAGAACTCCATAGAATCAGAGCGTGTTAATTACAGTATAAGAAATACTAATGATCTGATAGTCATTTTGAAAAATCCTTTGCGAGCAACTAGAAGCCAAGAGGAACTTACGTGCCAAATTTAAGTTTGTAAGCTTTACAGTTCTGGAGATT